GTATGCCGGAGTGCATCCACGGCTCAGCGCGATTTTTTACCCTGGTTGTTCTTAGGGGGGCCAAATCATTGAGTATTACAGAGAATTTGTTTTTGAAACCAAGCCATGTTTCTTCAACTTGTGTACCACTGAGCTCATCTGACCAGTCCAGGCTCTCCAGTTCTAGGTTAAAGGCCTCGCTAGAGTAGTTTTTGAGGTCTCTAGATATGACTGTTTTGTGACAGCCGGCCCTTTGTTTTAGCTTTTTGCGGGTACAGAATATCATATAATGATCACTTAACCCGCATGCTATAACCCCTTTACTGGAGATCCTGGACTTGTCAGAGGTCAGAATGAGATCAATGGTAGTTTGTGTTGTTTCACATACCCAGGTGGGTTGGGTGATTAGCTGGCTGAAGCCGTGCAGATCACAAATCCTACTGAAGGACTTGAAGACGGACGTGTCTTTACGTTGCATATCCGTGTTCCAGTCTCCAATAATAATTGTCTCTACATCCCCCACATCAGCCAAACACCCATCTAATGTATCATAAAAGTCACTCTGTTCCGGTGGTCTATAGATTGTCCCAACTATTACAGATTTAGCATTGTCAAAAATAATTTCAACCCACACAGATTCAATATTTTCATGATGCAGGTCAGTACGGTTTTTGAAATTGGTGTCTTTATGTATGTACATGCAGACACCACCTCCATTCACGTTCCTGTCCCTTCTCACTACAAGATAATCTTCAATTTCAATCTCTGAATCTGTAATGGAATTGTCCAATTTGGTCTCAGAAAAGCATAATATGCTTGCCTTACCGTTCATGAATAGCTGCCTGAGTTCAGCCAGTTTGTGTCTCAGGCTGTTAGTGTTCAGAAGCAAAATATGTAGTCCATTTTTGTTGCTTAAATGCACAATGTCGTCAGTTTGCAGATATTTGTCTTTGTCCGTTACAGCAACTGGCTTGTCGTGGTGGTGGGGTGGTGGTGGTGGTGGTGGGGGGAGGAGGGATGCTCCTTTGTAGCTTTAGCCGTTGATATGCTAGCAGGGTGGCTAACAACATGGCGGAGTGAAGAAGCCTCACCGTTACAGGCCCCGTACCGTGGCTCTGAGAGAGATCCGCCGCTACCATAAATCCACCGAGCTGCTGATCCGCAAGCTGCCCACTTTTTTTTTTAATATTGAAGTTAAAAGCATCAATCTGGTGCACTTTGAGAGCAACATTAAGAGATCTATGGAGACATCTCTCAACACCCAGATGAAACAGAACTGGAAGCAGATTTTCTTTTTCTTTATGGATATTTTACAAATCACTCCCCTTTCAAACTGTTTTCTTGTTTATTAATAACTACTTTTTTTACTGTCATATCATATTTTATACCTGTTTTTCATCTATTCTCTTATTTTTTCACAACTATAATGATCATATAAAGGTGTGCCTTTACCTCACTGAGCTGAGGTTATCAGAGCCTCTCAGTCTTTCAGGAGAGAGCTCTCTAAAGCTCTCCCCCCCGCGGCCGCTTACACAGTAAATTCCAATGTTAATAAAAGCACACAGAAGCTGTGTACGTTTTTTGGGAGTTTGATTTATTTTAAATTAACACAAAAACAAAATTAAAACCTATAATTGCCCACTAAAACCATTATTTCAAAAAAAGAACAATTTCACATAAACCTCTGGTTTTTACTGGGGCTGGGGCGGTTCAACTTGATTTGGGGGGGAGGGGTGCGCCATAGTATATGGACGCTGTACGCAATATAGGCGTAGTGCTGTTAGTATAAGATAATAAGATGTACTTTGTTGATCCAAAATCGGGAAATTGTGTTATGAAATAAAAAAAATTATATTTTTTAAATTTCTAACTTTTTATTTTTTTCAATTTTTGGCGCCCCCTATGGGTTGATGTGCCCTTAGCATTCGCCTATACTGCCTATGCCGAGGGCCGGCCCTGCCAAGAGGGTCACCATCATGCCCAAAGACATCCAGCTGGCCCGCCGCACCCGCGGAGAGAGAGCTTAGACTGACCCGAAGCCAGCCCATTCAAACCCAAAGGCTCTTTTAAGAGCCACCTCACTCTTCACTGAAGTGCTCATTCCTCTATATTTTGACATTTGTTACCAACAAACACTGGCCAAGATTAGAATCATTAGTTTAGTAATAACTGTAATGGCAATTTCCTGTTCCTATGTCCTATATGTTTGCCATTACTTCACAGAAGGGCTGAAGAGTGATCCAGACGCAGACACATACAGATGACTTTCCGGTCCTTTGTTGCAGTTTATAATGAGGTTTATTCAGGGTTTAATTATACAGTTTAGTTGTTGTGTGGTGAGCATCTGCCGGGCTGGTGGAATCGGTATGCTCTCTTCCTTCTGTGTCCTGCCCTCTCCTGTCACCTATGACCTCTTTATATACAACCGGTGCAGCTAAACCCCGCCACCAAGTGTTCAAAAAATAATATTGCACTATACGTATAACTTAAATAAACTGACACACCAACAACACCAATAAAATGGCTCCTAAATAACAAAGTTACATTGTTTGGGATAATGACTCGTTCAGACATTGGTTAGATAGTCATTCTATGCACAATTTTTCATTTAGTGTGGGACTTGTTTCCTTCAGCATTAAATCAAGGTGTTACAGTGTAACTTGTCACAGGGATCCGGGCGTGTCCATTGAGGACCCATTGTGGATTTACCAGGAAATAAACATGTCGATCGCCTCGTTTTGTCGTTTACATTCATATTTTGCTATATCTGCCTTCCTAACATCACTTTGATGCACATTCTCTACTCCTATGTGAGGTGGTGGGTGAGAGCTCGATATCGTGATGCTTACAGGGAGGTATCGGAAATGACAAAGTAGGTGACTGAGTGGATGCCTGTTCAAAACATTGTAAACTTGAATAAATCATTTCAATCATATATGTGTGTCCGACTTTCATTTGTACATCGTTCTTAATGTGATGTATAGTAGCTTTGATAGCTGTCCACACCTTCAGACAGCCTCAAAGTAAAACACAAGTTGTTTATTCACAGCCCGAAAGCAGCATCGAGATGACTGGATCATCTGTGACAAGCTGTGATCAGCTCCGATTCAATTGTGATATCAATTCTGTAGCTATTCTCCAGCTAGCAAGTTTTTGTATGAAATACCTGTATCCCTCTCATCACAACAAGACTCTACACTGTGCAGGAAAACAAATTACATACATGAAAACAACCTTGATGCATAGCTTGGAATGAAACAAACAAACTATCTTCCATGGCTAATCTAAACCACAGAAAAGTACAAGTTGAATCCATATCATACGGTAGTTCTGTTATGCCTTTTAGCGATACGTTTAACCCATAAGGAAAGAGATTAAAGGGGGACGTCAATTAGAGTGACTAAATAGACCACCTATAATACATTTCTGACAAGAAACCCCCCCTAGTGTCACATATCTGAAATGTGACATTTATGTCACATTGAGCTTTAATGGTAAAGTAACTCTTATTTATAACTAAATTAATGAGGATGATTTTTTGGTTTACATTTGTTGGAACATAATTTGAATTGAATAATAAATAATATATTAACTAAATTAACTGAGCAGATCATAATAATATTTCTAATTGTGCATATGTCACTCCGGGTTTACTGTGACTGTTTAGGATTAATGTCCCGATGTGATATCAGCGATATTTATCTAATTTGTTTCATAACAATTTGATCAAGAAATGTTTCCACAACAGGTTAAATGTAATCAGAATCAGAATACCTTTATTCGCCCCACAGAGGGGAAATGTACATGTGTTACAGCAGAAAAGAGCCAAAGACAGCTTCATGTTTAACAAAGGACATGTCATGTAAGCATTTTTATGATTGTGTTTTACTTTGAGGCTGTCTGAAGGTATGGACAGCTATCAAAGATACTATACATCACATTAAGAACGATGTACAAATGAAAGTCGGACACAAATATATAATTTAAATGATTTATTCAAATTTGCAATGTTTTGAACAGGCATCCACACAGTCACCTACTTAGTCATTTCCGATACCTCCCTGTAAGCGTCACGATATCGAGCTCTCGCCCACAACCTCACATAGGAGTAGTGAATGTGCATCAAAGTGATGTTAGGAAGGCAGATATAGCAAAAGATGAATGTAAACGACAAACGAGGCGATCGGCATGTTTATTTCCTGGTAGATCCACAATGTCCTCAATGGACACGCCCGGATCCCTCTGACGAAAATAATAGAATGCAGCCAGTTGTCATGACTCCAGTTACACTGTAACACCGGTAGCTAGGAGAGATGTTAGCAGTTTGCAATCGTAAACACTAGTAGCCTCCAATGTTCCCCTTGTCCACTACTGGCCAGTCATTGCGGTAACTAGGAAATATGCACGACTCTAGTTGCGTATTTTTCATAGCCTTATATTTCAACAGTTTTACGATAAACTGTTACTTTTTTGACATGGAAATTATTTTTGTAAGATTGACAAACATCATATGTGTAATTCGTGGCACAATTCAAACGGGGTCGAAAGATAATCTTTCTCTCCCTTTTTTTTTTCTTTTCTCCGTTTCAATGTCTATTTTTTTTTATTTGCCTCAGAACATAAATCTCTTATCACTTCTCGTTTCCGTTTTTCATTATACACAATACAACCTTCTTGATTTTGTATAGATTTGATGAATTTACTTTGAATTTGCTTTTGGTTGGTTTTAATGGCTTGAGCCAAGTTGCCTCTCTGATCTATTTCAGATGTTGTATGAATATTATATAATGATTCCTGGTTTAATTGATCAATTTCAGTTTTTAATTTAGATATATTTTCTTCTACCGTTTTAGTTTTAAATCTCCCCATTGACTTCAATACATCATTTTTGCGAAATAAGGTCCCATGGGGCGGAAGTACATTGCTTCGCAGCTTTCCCGCTCTCCGTCTTCTCTTCGGTCCGCAGTGAATATTTAAATACTGCCGGTCAAACTGCTTCTACCCATTCGTTCTGAACGACCCGACCCAACAAGACTTGAAAATGAGTGGAAGAGGAAAAGGAGGCAAGGGACTCGGCAAAGGAGGAGCCAAGCGTCACCGTAAAGTTCTCCGTGATAACATCCAGGGAATCACCAAGCCCGCCATCCGCCGTCTGGCTCGCCGCGGCGGAGTGAAGCGTATCTCCGGTCTGATCTACGAGGAGACCCGCGGGGTGCTGAAGGTCTTCCTGGAGAATGTGATCCGTGATGCCGTCACCTATACCGAGCACGCCAAGAGGAAGACCGTGACCGCCATGGATGTGGTGTATGCCCTCAAGAGGCAGGGCCGCACTCTGTACGGCTTCGGAGGTTAAACATCTACACCCTACATACCTGGAACAACAACGGCTCTTTTAAGAGCAACCCACATTACTCAAAGAGTCTGTTTCCTTTCGATGAACATTATATCGAACTTAAACTCCATCTCCAAAACTCTTGCTAGGATATTAACAATGTAGATAATTTCACAACGTTGTTAATCCGACATCCAAGTAAAGTCTCCACAACTACAGCCACAACCACGACTGCGCCAAATAATTGTACTTCCTGCTGTTTGGGGTTTCTTAAACTTTTGAAATATGTTTTAAGGTGATATACACTGGGATATGTTAAGGACTAACTCACTTATAATGAATACATTTGTATTTCAGGATCTTGAAATCATACGTATTGGGATTCATGTGGATTAATACGTGTGGACTAGAGGGTGACCTCAATGGTTCACCTCACTTTTTTATTTAAATTCCAACGTTGGTCATGAAAAATATGTGTTTCTCTGTTGTCCACGTTATACATAGTTAAAAACATGAAAGAGTTAAAAGTACATTAATTCCAACCGATTTATTTATTCATGTACAACACATTATAAAACCCCAATAATACAAATACATAATCAATGGGGTGTTCATTTTACATGTCATCCAATCTGTTTTGATTCTAAAACTAGTTAAGCGCATGCTCCGTCCTGCTCAGAAGACAACCAATCCCGTGCGAGCAACAGCACAGTCATATTTGCATCTGGTGAATATAAAAAGACCGCGCTGTGACACAGAAGTCATTCTACGCTGTCGCACCTCACTCTCTCATCATGCCTGCTGACGCACCCCCTGTCAAGGCGGCCAAGAAGGGCTCCAAGAAAGCCGTCGCTAAGACCGCCACCAAGACTGGAAAGAAGAGGAGAAAGTCCAGGAAGGAGAGCTACGCCATTTACGTCTACAAGGTGATGAAGCAGGTCCACCCGGACACCGGCATCTCCTCCAAGGCCATGGGCATCATGAACTGCTTCGTGAGCGACATCTTTGAGCGCATCGCCGGTGAGGCCTCTCGTCTGGCTCACTACAACAAGCGCTCCACCATCACCTCCAGGGAGATCCAGACCGCTGTCCGCCTGCTGCTCCCCGGAGAGCTGGCTAAACACGCCGTGTCTGAGGGCACCAAGGCCGTGACCAAGTACACCAGCTCCAAGTAAACTCTGCTGCTGACATACCAACAACACAAAGGCTCTTTTAAGAGCCACCCACTACATCTATAGACGTGTTCCTCTGTTTTGAATAAGTGTCATGCACGATGCATGACTCAAATAGATGATATGTAAATCACTTTATATTATTTTGTGTGAGCTTATATCTCTACAGCGCTTTGTTCTGAAGGTGTTAAAGTGGTATATAAATAAAGTTGGATTGGACTTGACATGACCAGCTCCAAGTAAACTCTGCTGCTACAAACCAACGGTTCTTTTAAGAGCCACCCACTTCATCTACTGCTGCTTTCTTCTTACAAAGTGTCTAATATACCTCAACATGATTTCCATGTTAATACAACTAAAATAATACTTTGCGACATTAAACTGCCATGCTCACTTGGATCATCTTCCTGTGATCTGGCTTTTACTATTTACATTTTACTTTCTGAGCAGTTTTTTTTACTGTTTTGTTTGTATTATACATTATATGTGTTAAGTGCTGCAAATATAATGTATGTACAGTGTGTGTGTGTCTATATACACGAATGAGAATAGGTTTTATTACCAAGTAGCTTGACACATACAAGGAATTTGCTTTGGTATATTTGGTGCATACAAAGACAGAATGAATAATACCTAGCAAAACTATTAAAATCTAAATATGAAATAAGAGATGTCCTCAAAATATAAAGATAAGATAAAAAAAATTGACATTACACAAATAACAACCTACACAAATAAGTTACAATTGATGATCATATTCTCCCCGTTAAATGTTTAGCCCAAACAGCTGCATGTATTTAGGTGGGTGTGTAATTTGAGTTATAATACCAAATATATTATTTAATAAGTTAATTACACACTGTAAATAATCATTAAGTATGACACCTTTTTGAATGTCTTAATGTTCTCTACATATTGAGACTTTCGCTTCTTAAATTACAGGAGTTTATGTTCATCTTTGAACGGGTGAAAACAATTTCAGAAAATTCAGTCTCATTCTGAAAAGAATTCAGGCGGCAGACCGACCTGTTTTCTGATTGGACGATCACAGTTACGGATCAATCTGACCAATGAGCGTTTAGCTGCGCTCCTATATAAACTGGTGAGAACGGTGACCGACCTACTTTCTTCTAAACGGCAAAGAATAATCACATAGAAAATGTCTGGTCGCGGAAAAGGTGCAGGTTAACGTCGAAGCTAGTGAGAATGACTCGAAAATGATTGGAAGAGGAAAGGAAGGAGGTGAAAAAGGGTGAAAAAAATATATAAGAAATGTCTCTTCCTGGAAGCGTGCCATCTTTTGCTTCAAAATTTGGACAGTTTTGGGTTCGCCTGAACTTCACAGGCTCAGGAGAACCCCCAAGTCGTGAATATATTGGAGAATCATTATTATTTGATACCTGCTGGATCAATACAAATGATGTGTATTCCTTCATTGCACTGCCAAACAGAAAGGAGTTTGAACTTTGCTTTTTGCTAGAAGCTCCTCTGAGATGTTTCCTTGATGTCCTCGCAACTAAAACCTCAGATCCCAAGTGGAAAGACTGGACTTTCGAATCTTCCATTCAAATGGATATCTCAAACATCATTGTTAAATTCTGGACTGGCCGTATTCCAGACCATGATGTTGAGACCTATTTGAAGAGATATGGAGATATAATCAGCAAATACAAACCAATAGATACATTTGGGATATGGTATGGAGTGAGAAAATACAAAATGAGGATGAACAGAAACAGGGATGGTGAGATCCATAAACTCCCGAATTCGATATCTCTTGGCCCCTATAATGGGAGAATAATTTATCCAGGGCAATCCGTCACCTGTTTCATCTGCAACTCAGCTGACCATCAGGTCAGAAAATGCACCACAGTGAAATGTTGGAGATGCAATGAACTGGGCCACAAGGCTAAAGATTGCAATTCAGACAGTCTCTGCAACCTGTGTGGAGAGATCGGGCACACCTTCTTCAACTGCCCATCTTCTTATGTAAACAAGGCAAAAATCCAGCAGCAGCCTGGTCCTCCTCCAGTCACCCAGCAGCAGCAGCCCCGTCCTGCAGCCAAGCAGAAACCTGGTCCTGTACTCCCTCCAGTCACCCAGCAGCAGCAGCCCTGTCCTGCAGCCCAGCAGCAGCCTGGTCCTCGTCCTTCAGCCCAGCAGCAGCCTGGTCCTGATCCTTCAGCCCAGCAGCGGCCTGGTCCTGGTTCTTCAGCCCAGCAGCAGCCTGGTCCTGGTCCTCACCCAGCAGCCCAGCAGCAGCCTGATCGTCGTCCTGGTCCTCACCCAGCAGCGGCCTGGTCCTAGTTCTTCAGCCCAGCAGCAGCCTGGTCCTGGTCCTGGTCCTCACCTAGCAGCCCAGCAGCAGCCTGATCGTCGTCCTGGTCCTCACCCAGCAGCCCAGCAGCCCAGCAGCCCAGCAGCAGCCTGGTCGTCGTCCTGCCAGCAAGGATCTCCCTCTCCCTGGAGATCAACAGCCTTCAGCTCCTGAAGGCGATTCTCCATCCCAGTCAGGTGAGGGTAGATTAACTATTGATAGTGATGTAGAGAGCGAGTACAGCTCTGAGAGTGAGATTGAAGATAGTAAATATTATGAGTGTGAGCGAAAGCCCAGGATCTGACTCTAGCCCTGACAGCCTTACAGCTGGTCAGCGAGTCACCATGCCCCTCTACTCGCCCCCTGAGAGCAACTCGGGGTCTTTTTCACCAACTCCGGAATTTCCAGAACCCCCGAGTGAGGCTCAGGGGGAAGCCCCGTCTGAGGTCTCAAAAAAGAGACCTGCAAGTAGAAACTTGAACCAAAATGAAAAACGGGCAAATGTAGATGCACCATAGTGATTCATTTTATAAACCAATATGAGCTTCTTTAATGTCGCTACCTGGAATGTATGTGGTGTTCAGTCTAAGGACTTTCGAGAGAGGAAAATTAAATATTTATTAGACACTAATTATGACTTCCTCTTTACGCAGGAACTTAGACTGAATACCACCAGTGATGTTGATGATGTGTGTAAACGGTGGCATAAAGGCAAAAGTATTATATCCATCGGAGAGAGTAGAGCTGACGGAGTTGGCATTTTCTTTAAAGAAAAAGACATCACTATTATTAGAAGAAGGGACATAATCCCAGGAAGGCTGCTTATGGTGGATTGCTTTTATAAAAATGAAAAATATCGACTTATTAATATTTATACTGCCCCTGATGCAACAAATAAGTTACAATTATTTAGAAAACTTAGAGAGTTATTAACAGTGGGTTATAAAATTATATTAGGTGGTGATTTTAATACAATAACAGAAGACATAGATAAGTGTAGTACAGCTGTTTTTAAACTGAGGGCGGAAGGAAAGCTGTTGAGAGAAATCTGCAGCGATGCAGGCCTAACCGATGTCTGTCGCTCTTTGAATCCCGCTGGAATGGATTTCACGAGATATGACAAAACAACTAAAACCCATATAGACAGGATTTATGTATCGAAACACTTCTCTGTAACCAACTACAAAACAATCTTTAATAACTTTTCGGTGCTATGTGAAAACTAGAACATGCCCCATGATTAACTGTGAGGAGGACGAGACTATACAGCACCTCCTCATGGACTGCTACAGAGCTCAGGAGGTGTGGTCGCTCCTACGGGGCATCGGGTTAGACTTCAATGTAAATCATATCTCAATCATGTATTGTATTCTGGATGAAGGGATGGACAATAAACACAGGGACCTTTTTCAGCTGGTAATTTGTATCACATGTATGAAGATCTGGAAAACAAGGTGCAAGATGATACTAAATCAGACGATCATAAACAGTGGCACCATCGTGAAACAAATACTTAATGAACTAAGGAGAAAAAATCCCAGACTCAGCCATGGGGCGTTTTGAGTCTGTGACCGAGCTGAGTCTCATTGGAATATAAACGTGCTCTCTTTATGTTATTTATATATTTATTCATTATGTCTTATGTGTATTATTAATGTAACTTGTGTATATCATGTACTGCCAGAATAATTATAAAATAAAGTTTTAAAAGAAAAAAAAAAGGAAAGGTCAGGGCGAAGGCCAAGACTCGCTCATCCCGTGCGGGGCTCCAGTTCCCTGTCGGCCGTGTCCACAGGCATCTGAGGAAGGGTAACTACGCCCATCGTGTCGGTGCCGGAGCCCCGGTGTACCTGGCCGCTGTGCTGGAGTACCTGACCGCTGAGATCCTGGAGCTGGCTGGAAACGCCGCCCGGGACAACAAGAAGAGTCGTATCATCCCCCGCCACCTGCAGCTCGCCGTCCGCAACGACGAGGAGCTGAACAAGCTGCTGGGAGGAGTGACCATCGCTCAGGGAGGCGTGCTGCCCAACATTCAGGCTGTGCTGCTGCCCAAGAAGACCGAGAAGGCTGCCAAGAAGTGAACACCCTGATCCCGCTTCAACAAACAACAAAGGCTCTTTTAAGAGCCACTCACTTCCAACTAAAGACATGTCTTGCCCTATATGTATTGATGTGCACAACATGTCATGTTACACCAAGTCACCCAACTAAAACACCCACATTATAGAGCAATATACAATTGAAACATAACCCTAAATTACTATTAATGATATCATCTATTGCAGGTTGTAGCCTCTCTAAAATAAAGCCTTATTTCAACTAAAGCAAACTACTTTCACAATTTCCTTCGTACATCCAGCAGGTTAATCACCACATTCTCAAATGAATAGCGGTGTGGTTTCTACATCTGTCAGTCCACATAAATAAAGCCACAACGTTTGTTGGACCCATCATTAGTGTTTAACTCAGTTCACACTATATCAGTATTACTTATTGGCAGGTGTCTGCAGTTCACCGATCAATAGCGTACCGTAGCATTTAAGCACTCGATGGTATCTTTATCCCACACGCACATTGAAATGAATAACAGGTTATATTTAGTTCCAGCCTTTATCCACCAGATGTCAATGTTCACCAACTAATGTTTGGAGCAGAACGAGAATAGTGGCTCTATTGTAGTGGAATAAATATTAACACACGTGTCTTTCTAACAGTTCTTTATTTATGTTGTATTAGCATTTTAAGAAACGAGGTACATCTAGTACATATATTAATGAAGTTAATATCTTTTAGCCAATTAACAGTTATTTAATGTGACCATTGTTTATACCGTTGGGAGTTAGTTTAGTAGCTCTAAAACATATATGGCACAAGCTATTATACAGCACTATTTCAAGATTAGATAAGCATGTAAATATTAACATCTTGAAGAATATTGTTTAAACTAAACTGTATTTTATGGACAAAAATGTTTCTCAACTTTATTTAAAACTCAAACACTAAGTACAAGAGCCAAAATTAGAAACAGTGGCAGAATAGTATAGTTATATAACAGTAATTATAATAATTGTATTTACATTCAATAAAAACAAAAATATTTAGGATTAAAAACTCAACTTAATAAAATATACAATACATAATTCTTCATGTTTGAATTATATTCTTTAAATACTGTTTATAGCTCTACTATTTTCTGCTTGACTACATTATTGTTATAGAGATACATTTCCGTGATCCATTATTCGTTAACTTAATTTGAATATAAAATTAACCCAAAATACATTTATTATTTATAATCATATGCACAGTAGCTACAGTGTAGACGTGGCAATGCAAATCTTAAGTCCCAGGCTCCTCCAACAATGCAACATAGTTATATAGGACAAAAGACAATAAAACTGATTTAAAAAAAAAAAAATGCAATTAAAATAGTGCAAAAAGAAACAGTAGAATAAAATAGTGCATTTTATGTTAAATGAAAGAGTCTATATAGATGTAAATAGAATAAGATGGACAAAAACAGAATGTAAAAAGAAATATTGTTTATTGTAGTGATATTTATTTGGACTCAGGCTTTAAGCCTGGAAGAGGCTTTCTGTTTCAAGACTCGAATCACACAATTACGGGTGTGTTCAAGTTGGTGCGTCACAAGATTCATGTAAGAAGTATTTAAAGGCAAAAAACTAAAACATACATAGATTAAGTTATTTTAAAAGGTTTTCAGGTTATGCGTCGACTAAATACAGAAAAGTATACATCTTCTTTTACTGCAATTTATGTTATTTCTAATGTTATTTGGTTAACATTTCTGAATAAAAACAATGTATTGTGGTGAAACTGCTGGTCATTCATCGTGACCTTAAGAATACATGTGATAAACAGTCAGAAGATAATGCTTTATTTTAAGAGTATGCAGAACACAAATACATGAGAGAAAGAAACAAGCACCTTTAACCGGTGTTAAATAATAAATAAAGTTAAAATCCTAGTCAGACATGTGTGGAGCCAAAACACCTAAGAAGCCTATTTAAAGTTTCTAATCTTCTGAGTCTAAAGTTTATTAAAGGTGTTTTTTGGAGCACATTTAGTGATTTTTTTGTAATAGTCTTTAATGAGTGTAACAAATAACTCTAAAGTAATCAAGTTTCTCAAAAACAGCCCCCGATTTAAATGTTCCAACTGTTTGTGTGTTTTTTGTAAATGTAAACGGCAGGTTACTTAGTTTTCTGAAGAAGAAAAGATAGGCCTACATGTTATCAAAGTGTTGAATTAAGTTAAATTATCCTAAATTAGTGAAGTGTAAAAGAAAACATACATACGCTCTATCAGAACCGGAGTACAATCCCACGACTCTTTTGAGTGTGTTTGCAGAGACAAAACTAACCTCTGTTTAACATTAACATATTTATATTAGTAAACTATTTTTAGGTTAGGTCTTTAACTAAACATCTTATTTTTATTCCAGACTAGTTTAAGTCGAATTTCAAAGTATTTTAAAGCATTTAAGAGGGAAATTAGAGAGGAAAGTCACATATGTATGACTCACACGGCAGCATTTGAGGGAGGTCGAAAGGCTTCCCATTAAAATCATAACACAATATTGAGGTTAATTTCACTTTTACATGAAGAGAAACTCCTTTGCTATCGTTTAGGGTGAATTTTACAATATATTGTTTCTTCCAGGTGTGATTTTATTACATGTGTTCGTGAAGAGAAAACACAAAGTGGCACAGTGCTGCTCCTGTGAGACAGGCTGCGATTGAGTCTCTACGGTTCTCATGGTGTGTTTAAGTTCGGCTCTTTGCTGGGATTTCTCTCTCAGTCTCACCGAGTCCAGAGAATCCACTTTGAAAGCAACATGGCAGAATCCGCTCCCGCCGCCGCCGCACCGGTCAAGTCCCCGAGGAAGAGAGCCACCAAGCCGAAGAAGGCGGGCCCCAGCGCCGCTGACCTCGTGCTGAAAGCCGTCTCCGCCTCCAAGTAGCGTAAAGGGATTTCCTATGTCGCCCTGAAGAAAGAGCTGGCCGTTAAAGGCATCGACAACGCCAACCAGGTGAAACGCGCCGTGAAGAATTTGGTGGAGAATGGAGCCCTGGTGCAGGTCAAGGGATCCGGAGCCAGCGGCTCATTCAAGGCAGCCAAGGCCGCCGAGAAGCCCAAGAAGGTAGCGAAGAAGCCCGCAGTCAAAGCCAAGAAACCGGCAGCAGCGAAGAAACCCGCCGCCAAGAAGCCAGCAGCCAGCAGCCAAGAAGGCAGTAACACCCAAGACGGCGAAGAAGCCTGCTACTCCTGCAAAGAAAACCCCCGTGAAGAAGATCACTAAGAGGCCGAAGAAGGTGGCGGCCAAGAAGGCAGCGACCCCCAAGAAGACCTTAACCCTTAAAGACCGAGCGAGCCGCCCGCGGCTTCAAAGGGGTAGCGTTCTAAAATGCTTAATAACTTTGTAACCGCTAATCCTATCCATCTGATTTAAAAAGTGAGGTAAAGCGGCGATTCTAGGCTTTTCGCTGGTATCACTCATGGGTATCACTATGTCCTTTTCCGGGATTCAGAGGCTCCGACGTGATCGGGGCAACGTCATCACATTGTAGAGCCTTGATTCGTCAAGGAGACCCACGCGGCCCCTCCGTCTGAGCCAAACAGCAAAGGTTTTAGACTAAGTCCCACCCCCCTGTGTCCGGATAGGTTTACAATTTAAAGGTCCAGGCAAACCTCTGCCCATGCTACCATCTTCTCGACCAATCAACATAGGTTGCTGTGTATGTTTTTGGCGGCGGGAGATAAACAAAGAGAGACGAGAGAGTAATACTGAAGAAGAGTAATTTTGCCAGCGTAAGATAAATAAATACAACACGAGATATCTAGATACAGTCACACACATACACATACATACATATACACACACCGCAAGACAAATTCAAACCAACATGTCAAAACGGCGTTACACTACGGAAGAAGCCATAGCATTTATTTTGTCTGGCGGACCGCTTAGCGATGCAGCAGTGGATTCCTCAGATTCTGAAGCTGACAGCTGGCGTGATGAAGAGGAGTATGATCACGGGATTGATCCCTTCGAAGATAAAAAGTGAGTAACTTTGCTTATATCTTATTGTTTGTGTTGCATTTATCGGTTGTTATTTTTGTATAACGCAGAAAATAATTCGTCCTAAGAGTTTTTATAATGGATGGCCATTTGCAGTAATTGTGTCATAAAGTGAAGTCCTGAGCTCAAGATTCACTATCAATAGAGGCTACTATTTATTTCAGTAAAAAAAACGTCAAGCAATACCTTTCATTTATTGCCTCATTCCGCTTGCCCTCTTTGGTTGTTTGTTATGAGGTCTAATGTTATTATATTCATTGCATTACAATTCAGTTACTGATTCCATCAACTAGTAATGTTAGCAGAGGGATAAAGTGTGAATCAAATCAAAAGTTGAGACTGTGTTTAGAAAATAGATAGGATGACACTGGAGAAATAAAAGCAATAAAGGAAATAAAATAAATTCAGACATTTATATCTGTATATTTTCCTCCCTTTTATTTTAGTCCAGAGGATGAGAGAGAGGATGCACAAGCCACTGTCCCCATCAGTAGGCCTCCTTCAAACCGAGAGGGAAAAGAATGTGGCCAGGAGGGTGCAGCATCCAGAAAAAAGGCCAAACCAATGCCAGCCCCCCTGACAGTGAAAGGGAGAGGAAGAGGGAAAGGGAAAAAAACATCTCTGACCCCAGAAGAGCCAGGAGCTGTTTGGAACGGACCTGAGGTGCCAGATACTGCCCAACAACTACCACACTTTTGCCTGAAAAGAGCCCCTGGAGTCCAAGGTTTTGTTGGTGTGGAGTATACTCCTGCACAAATATTTAGACATTTTTTTAACAACCAAGCTGTAAATATCATCTGCAAGAACACAAACAAAAATGCTGAAAAGGAGCAGGCTAAGGGGAAAAAGTTTGTTTGGGAAGAGCTAAAGCCGGTAAAATTCCTCATGTATGTCGGCCTTATGATGTTCATGGCACTTCTAAAACTGCCAAAAGTAAGAGACTACTGGAGGAAGGGATCACACCTAAGTGTTCTCTTTCCTGCTTCTGTCATGACAAGAGACAGGTTCATGGCAATCAGCAGAGCTGTACACCTGAGCGACCCAGACCATGATTTGGCAAATGACCGGAAAAAGGACACCCCAGAGTACGATCCACTCCATCGCCTAAAACCACTTCAAGCCACCATAAAAGAGGCATGCAAGGCAATGTGGCAGCCTAGGAAAGAAATGTCAATTGATGAACGGATGGTGGCCACAAAAGCCAAAATTGGACTGAGGCAGTACATGAAAGCCAAGCCAACTAAGTGGGGTGTGAAGCTGTTTGTGTTAGCAGACTCCAGCAATGGGTATACCATCGATTTTTCCATCTATACTGGAAAGAGCCGCTTCATTTCAGGGCAGGGTCTCTCTTATGATGTTGTCAGCGGCCTAATGGATAATTCCTACTTGGGGAGAGGTTACCATCTTTTTGTAGACAATTTCTACACCAGCCCAAAACTTTTTACTGACCTATTTGCAAGGGGTTTTGTGGCATGTGGTACATTCCGCGACAATCGGAAAAACGTGCCTAAATCAAAATTGAATGCGCTAACCTCAAAGAGCCCCAGGGGCTCAATGCGATGGCTCAGAGAGAAGGAGCTTTTGTTTCTACTAAAGTATCTTTTAAATGTGTAAATTAAAAGCTTTAATTGACCAAACTTATAACATTTTGTGAGAGCTGAAATATGTTATAAGTTGAAGAAGTCCATGGTTATTTGTCTGTTACTTTATACTTTATATTTAACATGAACAATTTGGTACATTTCTTGATGGTCACACACCCAAACCTAAATACAGTGTTTACATTCAGGTGTTTCTATTGGACTAATTATTACTTTTATGTCAAATTGTTTTCGTGTTTTATACAAATGAATGTCTTGACTCATCAGAAACAGAATGAAAGTCTCCTATAAAGAGTATTTTTTTAAAACTTTGATCAACTTTAAATGTAATGTTAATCTCAGAAAGGCTCTTATTTAAATTATAAATGTTATTAAGCATGTGAGGGTTTTATTACATATTAACACACGTTTAATCATCAAATGCTTAGTATAAAGCCTGACTGAATTATATAAACAATATTAGAAGGAAGAGAAAATGTTTTGAAAGATAATGTGGAGGCTGCAGCGTTGGCCCCGCCCAGCCGCTTTCCCGCTCTCCGTCTTCTCTTAGGTCCGCAGCGAATATATAAATACTGCCGGTCACTCTGCTTCTACTCATTCATTCTAAACTAGCCGACATAACAATACCTGAAAATGAGTGGAAGAGGAAAAGGAGGTAAAGGACTTGGCAAAGGAGGCGCCAAGCGTCACCGCAAAGTTCTCCGTGATAACATCCAGGGCATCACCAAGCCCGCTATCCGCCGTCTGGCTCGCCGTGGCGGAGTGAAGCGTATCTCCGGTTTGATCTACGAGGAGACCCGTGGGGTGCTGAAGGTCTTCCTGGAGAATGTTATCCGTGATGCCGTCACCTACACCGAGCACGCCAAGAGGAAGACCGTGACCGCCATGGATGTGGTGTATGCCCTGAAGAGGCAGGGCCGCACTCTGTACGGCTTCGGAGGTTAAACATCTACACCCTGACATACCTGGAACAACAACGGCTCTTTTAAGAGCCACCCACATTACTCAAAAAGAGACATTCCTTTTGATGAACTTTATATCGAACCTAAATTCCATCCGAAATTCTTGCTAGGATACTGGATATTAAAAATGTAGACCATTTCACAATGTTGTTTATCCGACATCCAATGATATGTTCGTAGAGGATAAAGTCTACACAACCATGACTGCTCCAAAAACTTCTACTTCCAGCTGTGTGGGGTTTCTTAAACTTTTGAAATATGTTTTAATGGTGAAATACACCGGGATATTAAGGACTAACTCGCTTATAATGAATACATTTGTATTTATTGTAGGATCTTAAAATCATACATATTGGGATTCATGTGGATTAATACGTGTGGACTAGAGGGTGACAAGCATCACTTTCACCTCACGTTTTTATTTAAATTCTAACTGTCATGAAAAATATGTGTTTCTCTGTTGTCCACGTTATACATAGTTAAACACATATGAAAGAGTTAGAAGGACATTGATCCCAACCGATTTGTTGATTTATTCATGTACACCACATTATAAAACCCCAATAATACAAATACATAATCAATGGGGTGTTCATTTTACATGTCATCCAATCTGTTTTGATTCTAATATTCGTTAAGCGCATGCGCCGTCCTGCTCAGAAGACAACCAATCCCGTGCGAGCAACAGCACAGTAATATTTGCATCTGGTGAATATAAATAGACCGCTCTGTGTCAAAGAAGTATTTCGACTCTGTCGCACCTCTCTCTCTCATCATGCCTGCTGACGCACCCCCGGTCAAAGCAGCCAAGAAGGGCTCCAAGAAAGCCGTCGCTAAGACCGCCACCAAGACTGGAAAGAAGAGGAGAAAGTCCAGGAAGGAGAGCTACGCCATCTACGTCTACAAGGTGATGAAGCAGGTCCACCCGGACACCGGCATCTCCTCCAAGGCCATGGGCATCATGAACTGCTTCGTGAGCGACATCTTTGAGCGCATCGCCGGGGAGGCCTCTCGTCTGGCTCACTACAACAAGCGCCGCACCATCACCTCCAGGGAGATCCAGACCGCTGTCCGCCTGCTGCTCCCCGGAGAGCTGGCTAAACACGCCGTGTCTGAGGGCACCAAGGCCGTGACCAAGTACACCAGCTCCAAGTAAACTCTGCTGCTGACATACCAACAACACAAAGGCTCTTTTAAGAGCCACCCAACCCATCCAAAGAGCTCATCCTGTTATACTCTATAACTACTCTACAGAACTCTAAATATTTAAATGTTATTTATGCAAAATGCTTTGTAAAGCAAGATAAACCATGATTGAATATTGTCATTCTTCACTATACGTGTTTATACCACCTCACTAGTGTTTGTTTTTCCAAAATGAAAATAAATACATTTCACAATATGAAGGAAATATGGTGGTTATTTTACTGCAATCCTGAGAGAAAATGCTAAGTGGTAATCTGTATCTTAGCAAATCTTTAGAGGAGACAAATGAACACATTTATTATTAAATGTTGTCCCTCTGCCACCACAAACTCTAATGTGCTGTAACAACAATCCACATGGTGTTTCTTCTGACACTTAAAGCCTCCCTTGAATGATTGATACCGGTAATACAAAGTGATGGGGTTTAATAAGAGAAGAGAATCATTTCACCAATCAGTAATGTCAAAAACACAAACGAAAAATGCTTTGCAAATGCTTGTGAAATACATAATACATATACACAACATTCATATGGGCACATACATTTCATATGGATAAGTAGGCTATATACCTACATCTTTCACACTAATAAACTCAAATACTTTTATAAGGTGATCTCATTTTACTGCAGAAGATCATGATTCATTTGACGTCTTACACTCACACTAAAAGCTGGTGCCATTTAAAGACTGTTTCTGCTCACTACATTATTAATGAATTCATTCCTTTGGGTTGTAACTGATGTTAATTCTCATATTTAACTTTTGGGCAAATGTTTAGTGTTGTTGACTAAATTATTCCTTTATTTCAGGGCGAGTTTTTCACTACAAATTAAATCATAGTTATACATTAGAAAATGACAGGGTTAGGGTTATATTATATTTAAATCATATTTATTTCCCCCTAAACTAAACAAAAGTTCATTTTGAGGAACCCCAGGATCATCCCCTGTGGAGGAGTGGATTACATTGTCCAATAGTAAAGCAGCTGCTCAGCGCACGTGTCTCCCGGCATGCACCAATCAGCGCTGCCCTGCTCCGGCAGCTCCTTTATAAAGGCGCTGCTCACAGAAACACAGCACTTCTTCTCTCACTGTGAACACTGAGAAACCATAATGGCCAGAACCAAGCAGACAGCTCGTAAGTCCACCGGAGGAAAGGCTCCCAGGAAGCAGCTGGCCACCAAGGCTGCTCGTAAGAGCGCCCCGGCCACCGGCGGAGTGAAGAAACCTCACCGTTACAGGCCCGGTACCGTGGCTCTGAGGGAGATCCGCCGCTACCAGAAGTCCACCGAGCTGCTGATCCGCAAGCTGCCCTTCCAGCGCCTGGTGAGGGAGATCGCTCAGGACTTCAAGACCGACCTGCGCTTCCAGAGCTCCGCCGTCATGGCTCTGCAGGAGTCCAGCGAGGCCTACCTGGTCGGCCTGTTCGAGGACACCAACCTGTGCGCCATCCACGCCAAGAGGGTCACCATCATGCCCAAAGACATCCAGCTGGCCCGTCGTATCCGCGGGGAGAGAGCTTAAACTGACCTGAGACCAGAACACCCAAACACAACGGCTCTTTTAAGAGCCACTCACACTTTCAAAGAGTTACAATCCTACTCATTATTATGATACTGGTTCATATTATTTTTGGTTAGCTGTACCGTGATGAATGAAACAAGAAAGGTTGTTGTTTACTAAAGTTACAAAGACATTAAAATGTGAGCAATAGATCAGTGTAAACACAACGTATGTCAATTATGGATCATCCAAACTATTTATTTAAAATATTTATTAAAGTTCTAAAACCCAAGAGCCACAAGGGATACGTATATTCCTTAATAACTTTGGGGGAAGGTTGTTTTAAGTACTAAAAGCTATCATAACTTGTTCACTTTAAACACTATGAACAGGTGAGTAATAATAATGGATGTATTTTGTAAGCGCTCTTACAGGTGCTCAAAGTCGCTTTACAGAGATGGTGAAAAGAACAAATATATATGGTTGAAGTCAAATTTTAAAAGCAAGCAATAACAACAGCCACACATTAAAAACCAGATTGAAGAAGTGAAGTTCTTTGAAGGTGGTGAAGTCAGTATTGAGTTTTTTATTCTGTCAGTAAATTATCCAAATGAAATGTATTTCATCATTTTAGTCAACCTGAGGACCACAGATGGAAATGAGCTATTGGCTATAATCTGACATATTGCATCTCTTCTCTTTGCTGAGATTAATGTATTTGTATGCATGGTCCTTCTATAAATAAATACATACATAAATAACCCTAAACAAATTCATTGTACCTTTTAATAATGACCTTACATGGTCGCCAACGTTAGCTTCAATTCAGAAAATCAAATCTGTTATGAGAAAAAACAAATAATTGTTTATAGATAGGAACTTGCCATCCTACTGAAAAACAGTCGGATAGAGATTTAACGGCATAGTTTAGTCCTACGTGTCATTTGATTGGTTTATCCTTATTAACACATGTTATTATTTTAAAGGTAATCAAGCCAAGAACCATTCATTTAACAATGTTACAACAGAACATTGAATATAAACTTTAACTAATGTAAAAGTATAAACGGTACTAAAATAATAAAAGGCCATAATATAGTTTGTTACTCTGCCAATAGAAAAAAAGTTAATGTGATTAAGGCAAAGTGACAAAACAGATAATATGGATTACTTGACTGTATTTTATTTAGTGAAATTGTTCTCCCACCAAGATGTTTGATGCATCAGTAAAATAAGAAAGCAAGTTTTAGATTCATTTCACAACAGAGTCAACTATTTCCTAAAGAATATGACATCAATCTCATAACGGAACAATTGATGAAGACTTCCTGATCATTACAAATGTACAAAACACATGTAAGTATTATTGGTGATTTCTATCATATTGTATTAGCTTGAAACAGAACTTTTTCACAGTTATGATAAGTTTGTATTAAACTGTGTATTTTGTTATTATTAATATAAACTTTAGACTATTTAAAATCGATTTAGTTGTTTTGTTTGTAATTTAAAAGCTATCAAAAATAGTTCAGATATGTTTTAAACCTATTGACAATACACATTTATTTGATTAAATATGGTCAAAGAAATTGAAAATGACAAACAGCTTTGGGGTACATCAGAAGACCTTTATTTGTCCCAGACAGCAAAGTTACATAATACACAATACAGCACTTCCATTTTAAAATAAAACATGATCAAAAAACAGGAACACATTCAGGGGGATATAAATATGAGGAGTACGTCCTCCCTCAGACTCATCCCTCCTCGGACAGTCCTCTGTGGCTGGAGCCGTCAGGCTGAACAGCCAGGGGCCGAACCTGGAACCAAGTAACAGTAACTGTACTGTTTGTACAAACACCTGTACACTTACATGTCAATATATCTAACAATCCGAACCCAAATATCTATTTATCACAACAGTTACTATATTATTTTATTTGTGTATCATTTTTTATCCTTGTGAATCTGTACTGTCCTGTTTTTCACTCTCACTCTGTTTCTGCTTTAAATCCTGAATATCCACAAACAGGGATGAATAAAGGTCCATCGTATCCTCCCTTATTTATGAAATAAGTGTAACATGTAGAAGGAAGTGAGGTAGATAACAAGGAAACATAGAGTTAGATACAGATTCTTGGACCAGCAAAAGATGGAATAACTAAGAAGCAGGCAGTATCAGTAATAATCTCAATGAGGAATGTATCACACAACAATGTGGAAAGAGATTTTCAAGAGGTAACAAATAAATAAAACAAGAATTAATCAGAACTAAACAGTTTCATAACATCCTGCTCTTACATGTACAAGTAGTACTAATAAGTGATATTAGATATAATGATATAACACTCGGTCTGGGACATCCTTATCCGCCTTTTCATGATAATGTAAACACTTGAAGGAACATGTTTACTGCACTGCTTTTACTTCTAGTGTATTACTTCATACAGTGTGGTATTAATATGTTTCTTCCATCTTTTATTCTGATTATCTCCATCCTTCACTGACTCATTCTTAGATTTTCGTCAGAGAACACGCACTTTATTTAATCAGTGTTTCTAAATACACATTATCTTAACAAGTAAATGAAGCTTCCTGTTCTGTTTGAACATCAATGAGCCTTTTCTCAACAAAGAATAAAGCTGCCTTTAGGTCCATTAGATCTGCTCAGATGATAGTAGTGATTTACAACTAGAACTTCAATATGATGTATTAAATGTGTGTCATTTTAATACAATAAAGTGATAACATATTGACACATAGGACTTCACTGTCAGAATTACTTTGGGTTTCATCATGTGTTGATTATTATTTCATTGTATAACTTCATCTCTTTCTCTTTACTTGCTGCTGTGAGCTGCCTGCATCAGTAGCCTGTTAGCGTCACATTGTAAAATGATGAACAATAAATACATAGGCCGAAATTGTTAACACTGTGCTCATCTGACAGAGATTATAATACATTTACTAGAATAGCTCCAGGTTTAGTGTCTTTATTTTTAGTAGCAACTGGAAGAAGACGTGAGCTTCCTTCTGATTGGACGATCTTCAATACGCTCGCTGATGGCCAATCAGAGAGCAGCTGGTGGATATAAAGAGCCGCTGTGGCGAGTAGACTGTCACACTTCTTTGTAAACCCCCCAGAAAGCAATTATGTCTGGAAGAGGGAAGACCGGAGGAAAGGCTCGAGCCAAGGCTAAGACCCGCTCCTCCCGTGCCGGGCTCCAGTTCCCCGTCGGCCGTGTCCACAGGCATCTGAGGAAGGGTAACTACGCTCATCGTGTCGGTGCCGGAGCCCCGGTGTACCTGGCCGCTGTGCTGGAGTACCTGACCGCTGAGATCCTGGAGCTGGCTGGAAACGCCGCCCGGGACAACAAGAAGACCCGTATCATCCCCCGCCACCTGCAGCTCGCCGTCCGCAACGACGAGGAGCTGAACAAGCTGCTGGGAGGAGTGACCATTGCTCAGGGAGGCGTGCTGCCCAACATCCAGGCTGTGCTGCTGCCCAAGAAGACCGAGAAGGCTGCCAAGAAGTGAACACCCTGATCCCGCTTCAACAAACAACAAAGGCTCTTTTAAGAGCCACACACTTCTATCCAGAGAGCTTTCCTTCATCTAACACTTTTACATTTATTTAATCGACGACTATAATGTCTTATTTGTAGTTTCCACTACCCTGATGTGTAATGATGTATCATGTAGTGTAACTGCTTTTTCAACACTTATTTCTAACCTGAGAAAATCTGGACCATGCATTTCCACGATGCCAAAGCCCCCTGATGGTCAAAACTACAATAAATACATAGTACAGATAATCATTTTCAGCCTGTTTAATATTCAGGTTTACTCAATAACAGCTTTCTTCAGTGTGGCTTTATTAGAAATATTAAATAAAAGGGACAACTCATACATAAATGCCAATATTATTAAATAAGTACTGTGGTATCTGCTGCATGTGCATCAAGCATTAATAGCTCAGTGATCAGACACTCCATTAATGTGTGCATAGATAGTTTCATGCAGTTCATGGTGTACAGTGTTTTATTAGTAAGCAGTGGTATAACAAGTCTACATCCAGTTGTAAGAAAATAGCAGTAATGTTTCCTCAGAGTAACACTTTGAACATCTCTTTCCATGTAGTCCACTTCATCTTCTACACACAGTGGTATAGGGCAGTTTATGGTGGAAAACAGCAGGGACAAAGTGAAACTGAAAAATGAATTAACACGGGAGAATCGAGTCAGTTTTACAAACAGATATAATTATATTTGTCAGAAAGTATTTGCTGTACAGCTCTTCCTCGTAAACAGTGTATTTCTTACGGGTAAAAGCTGTGCTTCCTAAGGTAGGAGTGATATCTAATGTCTTATCTAATTATGTATCACTGGTTGGTCCAAGTTCCCATCGGCGAAAACACGTGGGTTTGCTGTCCTGGCTCCAAGATGGTGGAATGAGCTCCCCATTGACATCAGGACGGCAGATAGCTTGCACATCTTCCGGCGCAAACTGAAAACTCATCTCTTTCAACTCCACTTCGAGCGTTAGAACTATTAACGAAGCACTTTTATACTAATAAAGGACTGGCTTACCTAAAGCCAGTTGAGTAGCACTTGAAATGTTTAGCTCTATGAAACCTGATGTACTTATATGATTCTGTTTTCTTCAAGGTTGTGTCTTCCTGGTCGAATGTACTTATTGTAAGTTGCTTTGGATAAAAGCGTCAGCTAAATGCAATGTAATGTAATGTAATGTCTTGGTTGGTTTCCCTAGCTACATTTACCATTTTCTGTAATATATTTATTTATAACGTGATCTTCAAGACGAAAGATTGAATACTTTCCGCCTGATTCTTATACATCATTTTTCAGAGTGTGTTAACAAAGTTTGCAATGATTGAGATTCCTAAGGTGTTCTTAAAGAATACGGATACTTTAATACAACTTCCTTACAAATATCAGTGAAACTTGCACTTTACAAATGCCACAGAGTCATCAGTTCGTATCAATCAACCAATGAAATGCCTTTCTGATGAGGGTCTTCTGCTTGTTGCTGGGCAGGTTTTGTACAGTGGCTTCTTTTAAACATCCTGTTAACGACTCTCTCCATAATAAAGATTATCTTCATGGACTTAATGACTCAACATTGTTGCAGGAGACGGAACTGAAGCAGGCATTTTCTGTACCAGATAGTTCAGGATGATTCAGAAGTTGAGCTCTCAGATGATGAGATCGATGAGGATTTCACACCTGGGATAGAAGAGGGTCAAGAAGAAGGGGAAAATATGCAGGAGGCTCCATGAGCGCACAGATTCTCTCCAACAGCGTTACGGTGCTCACAACAACAACAACAACAATGGCGGACTGCATCGGGTCGATGATCGTGTTGCTTTTAATCATACGAAGCCAGATCAAATTAAATAACGACTTCTCCAACCTTATACTTTTCTCCAGAGTGCCGTGGTTCATTGTTTATTAATGTGTTTTAGCGGCATTTACATACCACTGCAGTGCTGCTCTTCCACCGGATTGTATTCTCCCGTTAGCTCCGGGCGAGCTCACACGGCAGCGGACGCTGTAAAGTATTCACTGTATGACTGTCACACAAGCAGGGGATACATATCCCCAATTCCCCATAAGTGAATGTGTTGCAGTCTGAATTGACGCTGTTTGGCATCACAACGCTGTTATTAAAGTTTCTCTGGTATAAAATGGGTGATGTTAGCATAGCAACCGAAGCTAAACTGACTACTTGTTGTTGCTATCCTATTGTGGCATAAGCCGTTTTCTACAGGCACATTTTACCGGCATATTTTTCATTATGATTCTACTTGTGATAGTCGGACTTGACAACCTGTGCAGCCCATGTATTGATTCCTACGGTGGACCTGAAGTGCGAGACACCACAGCATTTCAGAAAACGCCACAGCATTTCACATTGGACGGAAAGGGTATTCCTTTAGGGAGAACACTTGTTTGTGATTGGTCAGAGCCAGCCAGAGAAGCATTGCTGTGATTGGTTGTTTTTGCTGCCAGTCAACAAATGACGCTTCGTGATTGGACAGCGCAACATGTCCCAACACATCAGTCGTTAGCTGTTGGCACTCAGAGCTCACAGCTCCTCATATCTGTTCAGAAATGCGGCTTTCACACCAGCGCTCTTCCCTTTCTAGCTCCGAGCTAGAGCTTTTCTGTGCAGCCCATGTATTGATTCCATCCGATAGCTGCTACAATACAAAACAAAACGTCTGCCTCTCTCCACAATGATCAATAGTGAACGGATGGTCAAAGTAAGGTACAAATAAACAGAATCACACGAAGCCTGGTTAGTGTTGCCTGACTTTATAACGTGTTTTTATAAGCACTACTGCTTGTAGGCAGGCATGACAGTCGACCCATGTTCAGTTTCCTGCACGCCTCGACGTAAGAGAGACGTAAGCGACGCCACCTCTTAGCTCCGAAGCTCTTGCCTCTAGACCGACAATTTTTTGGAGCTGGAAGTGAACCGGATTCCCCCAGTGAGATGATAGTGAACTGTTCATGAACTTGTCATGAGAAGTTCATGGAAATTCCGTGAACCATATTCATGAACAGCTCATAAACAGCTCATAACAAAGTTGATGAACTGTTCATGAAAGTTCCATGAACATTAAATGGCACTAGGGCAGTTCATGAACTACTCATGAAACTCCTGTGCTGGAATGGTTCATGAACAATTCATGGAATATGGTTTTAGGCAGGTTCATGAACAATTCATGAAATGGAGTTTTCAGTGAGTGTAGGGATATTCAGTATTCAACCAAGAACATTTCAAGAATTGTTCATGAATTAACCATGGTTCATGAACATATCAAGAACTGTTCATAACAACTTCATGAACAGTTCATACCCAGTCACTGAATATAATTCAATGGCTGGCTATGAACTGTTCATGTACATGAACTGTTCATGAACCATTGACTGTGGGTCAATTGGCAACCATAGAAAACAACAATTATGTCAATCACAATGGAACTTTATTCAAATTAACAAACATACAAACATACATGTATACAGGTGGAGCACTACAATTAATCCTATCATTATTTGAAGCACAGTTCTTGACACTGAGCTGCACACATTTGTTTGTTACGGGTCCCAAAAGCTTGGGTACCACAGCAACAATAAATGATTTCTGTAGAAAACAGAAAAGTGCAGCAGCAATAATTATAGACAGGATCCGGTTGATCGTCTGGATTGCTTCTTATTCAAAATTCAAAGTACACAGTTACATTCAAATAGGTGTACTTTACAAACATCACATTTCTCCATTTAAGTTATCCGTCTGTCACAGTCCATTACTGTATCTCAAGGAGAAATTCAACATAGTCAATATAAACACATAACGCTATCAAATAATACTTTCTATCAATATATCTATCTTTACCAAATATAACATATTATGGAGATCACAAAAATACACTGTCAATGTTAATAAACAAAAAACAAGGCAATGTGCCTGCAAGACTTCACTCAGGTAAACAAAACATATTACCCGTGCGCAGCAGCTAACCTGCCTGCGAGCCTTTGCTCAGGTCACATTTACCCAGGCGCGGCTGAAGCCCGCGAAAATGGCATCTATTGTTGCCGACAGTTTAGTATTTTTAAAATACCGTTACTATGTCAAACATGCTCAAAACTTTCTGACACACTCTCCTAAACATCTCCAACATCATATATAATTCACACAGGTTAACATCGATCATTTTCATCATTTACTGACCTGTAGAAAACAGAAAAGTGCAGCAGCAATAATTATACACAGGATCCGGTTGATTGTCTGGATTGCTTCTGACTGGAGGGGCGGAAGTGTCCCCCCTAAGATAACCCATATGTCACCGCTCACCTGCCAAAGGTTCCACCTTGGCGCTACTTACTCGTACTGCTTCTCAAACAGTACAGATAAACCATAAAATGATATGAATGTCACCAAAATAAATACAGATAATGTTCAGTTTCAAATGCACTATTGTTTTGTTTTAAGATTAAAAGTTTTAAAAAATAAAGAAATGTTCAAATAGTAGATGAATATTCAAGAGGTCTTTAAAATCATCACACTGATCATCAAAAGTTCATAAAATGCTCATGAATATTCAAAAATATTCTGAACTTGCCACAATCATCCACAATTCATGAAATGCTCATAGTCATGAAAAGTTCATGAAATGCTCATGCAAACTTTTTGGGGTTTTAATTATAATTTTGTGATTGGCTGGATCATGAAAAGTTCATAAATTGCTCATAAAAGTCTGTCATGAGCAAAACAGGAACTTTATATGAATGAACAATGTTCATAAAAATTTCATGAACTGCTCTTTAAAATGGTTCATGAGCATTTTAAGAATTTTGGTTCATGAACATGACAAGTGAACATATAATGAGTTGTTCATGAATGTTTCATGAGTGCTCATGAACAGCTCATAAAGTCATGAACTCCATCTCGCAGGGGTCCGGAGCTAAGAGCTGGCACCACCTCGGTGTGAACAGGAAAAACCGGAGCTTTTCAGGCTCCAGCTCCGAGCCGGAGCTGAAAAAGCGCTGGTGTGAAAGGGGCAAGACTGGACAAACCACAGACTGTCTGTGTCATGGCGAATACAGTCGCTGCTTTATTTATGTCTGTATGACGTGAGTGTGGACGGAGCGGCTACAGGTGATCATGAAAATGTAGCAGAATAATGAAACTCTGAGGTCTTATTATAAAAGGCCAAACATTTACACATCAGTACAATGATAAGTCTCTTCAAATCAAATCAAGTTTTATTTATATAGCATATTTATAAACAATTTTTGGTCGAGCCAAAGTGCTGTACATCTTGAAATGTGTTTCCTTCATTTTATACCTTATTTTTTCATTGGATGTACGTGATTTTGGCATGTCCCACACACTGCTCTGCTAACTACAGTGTGTGTAATAAGTGATTAAATGATACTACATTTAAAAAAAAAAAAAAGTATATGATTTTATTGTCCACGAGTTATTTGATAAAACGAGTCATTTGTATCATGTATATTCTATTTTCATAATAATGAACATTTTGCTTGTGGCCCTGACATTGCTGTCCACCCTGCCCCATAAAACATATGGATACATGTTGCTGTTTGCATGTACTTGCAGTTAATTTATAAAAAGTGCGGGAGCTTGACCAACATCCATTTCTAACTTCATAACATATACTTAATAAAATGAATATGAAGTTCAATGGAACATCTCAGCTTTTTTAATGGCAGACGGATGCAGTGGGAACACATACATCAAGTGCCTAAAGTGTCAGATGTATCTCTGCATTTCAAAAAAGGATGGAGTACTACAAATGAGGGCTCAGTATTTGTTGCATTGAGTTGTTGTGCTCTAATGTTGTCTAAATGTACTTGTATGTTAATGTTGTTTGTATACTATGCTTCGCATAACTAACACCCAATGTCCTCTACAAAGGACACACAATAAAACAAAAATACAAATATTTTTTTTAGTTTGTGTTAGTCATTATGTTAATAACACCCTAAAGACTTGTGTGATCTAAACAAAAAAGGACATTTGAAACATTTTTCTTTCTGGGTCTCAGGAGGGTATACAAAGTCATTCAAACTAGCTGCACCTTTACCAGCTTTGAGAACACTTTCATGATCAATCATTATAAAACATATATCTATTATTCTGAAATGGACCAATCTGCACAATGACTACTTTCACTGTCGCTACTTTAAGTATATGATCTCAAAAGTATTTTTGTAATACCTTAAATCTTAATGATAATTACAGTGAGGGGTGCTGAATGATCTAATTTGAATTATAAATGTAATTAAGCATATGAGGGTTTATTAAATATTAACGGACGTTTAATAATCAAATCCATATATATAAGAATTATATAAATATTATTTAAAGAAATACCTTTTTCCCCCTGAATGTTGTGGAGGCTGCAGCGTTGGCCCCGCCTAGCAGCTTTCCCGCTCTCCGTCTTCTCTTAGGTCCGCAGTGAATATTTAAATACTGCCGGTCAAACTGCTTCTATCCATTCGTTCTGAACGACACGACCCAACAAGACTTGAAAATGAGTGGAAGAGGAAAAGGAGGAAAGGGACTCGGCAAAGGAGGTGCCAAACGTCACCGTAAAGTTCTCCGTGATAACATCCAGGGAATCACCAAGCCCGCTATCCGCCGTCTGGCTCGCCGCGGCGGAGTGAAGCGTATCTCCGGTCTGATCTACGAGGAGACCCGCGGGGTGCTGAAGGTCTTCCTGGAGAATGTGATCCGTGATGCCGTCACCTACACCGAGCACGCCAAGAGGAAGACCGTGACCGCCATGGATGTGGTGTATGCCCTCAAGAGGCAGGGCCGCACTCTGTACGGTTTCGGAGGTTAAATACTCACCATCTGACAACAAAAACAAAAAGGTCCTTTTAAGGGCCACCCATATCCTCAAATTAGAGAGCTCCATTCCCGCATGATACCGCATTAGTGAGCACTAGAAGTTGGTGCAGGCGAGAGTTTTTGTCTTCTCTGAAAAACATTTTCAGGATCAAAATGTAAATAAAACGACTTAAATAACATCCCTTGCAAATTAACATTTGGACATGAACTGTATGGAAATACTGCTACGACTGCGTTTTGTGGTCAAAACAATAACTGATATTTTTGCAAAAGGGATATAACAATCCATACTATGTTTTAAAAAGAGTAGGAATAATATCAAAGCATAACTGGAATCTGCTGACATGTAGAGCTGATTTGACTAAATTGTACTCACAGTAAATACAGGTATATCTATATATAATACAAGTTTGCAACTCACATATCATATACATATTCCTATTACCGTATAGACCAGCAGTTCCCAACCTGTGGGCCGCGGCTCCCTAGTGGTCCGCGGAGGCATTGCACATTTTTTATTTTATGTTGTTCAGGCTAAAGACACAAACATGGACATAACAATAACATATAGGACATGACATTCCCACCTCAGACAAAAACAGAAGACATGAAGATACAGTCAGTAGGATCACTTCGACATTTCACAAACAAAAATAGGTTGACAACCAAATGCCACCAAAAACACAACATGGCGAGCATATTTATTGTTCCTTTAATCCCACTCTTCGTTAGCGCTCATTATTTCCCATTTCATGGCGTGTTGAGCCACCCTTTGATTTGTTTGTGGCAATACGTTTTTCTAAAATAAATTGTATTTTTAATCTACTCTTCAAACACCTTAAATTAAGATTACTCCTTGATTGACTTAAAACATGTATTTTAGCCAGAAGAATAGTTGTATTTATTAACTGTGTGCGTCTTGTGTCTTCATCTAAAAGCCCAAATAAAATATTTAAGGGCTGCCAAAATAATTTACAAAGCATTATGATTTGTGTGGAAACATTTTCATTATTAAGATTTTTTTTATTTTAGCCTCTTTTCCTTTCTCTTTCTTGATCCTCCTTAGCAACGGTCATTACAGTCCTTGACAGCGGTCTCTTATCGTGGATTTACAATGTGTCACATGTTCAGAACTTTGTTTAGCCTCCGTATTGTTTATGGTTGAATGTGTGCCGCAACATTTTTTTTATTCTTAAGTGGGCCCTGAGTTGAAAAAGGTTGGGAACCGCTGGTATAGACTATTCTGCACAGTTTCTATCATATTCTCTTTCGATTATTTTCAATTTTATTGTATTCACTTGTACTATTTTATCTGTTTTATTAAGTCAAAAGTCAACGCAGCCGTCAACCAGGACATTTTAGAGCACTTCATGCTTCCTTTTTTTGAAAAGCTGAATTTATTTTCCAGCAGGACTTGGCACTGCCAACATTACTAAGCCCTGGTTGAATGACCATGGACATACTGTGCTTCATTGGTCAGAAAACTCGCCTGACCTAAACGCCATAGAGAATGTATGGGGTATTGTCAAGAGGAAGATCAGAGACACAAGACCCAACGACGCTGACAAGCTGAAGGGCGCTATTGAAACAACCGTGGCTTCCATCACACCTCAGCAGAGTCGAAGGCTGATCGCCTCCATGCCACGCAGTCATTTGTGCAAAAGGAGGCCCAACCAAGTACTGAGAGCAGAAACATGAACATACTTTGTATCATGTAGGCTACCTACCAGTAGATACATGTTCCAGTTGATGGTAAACAAAACACATAAGAACAATATGAGCTGAGATAGTTATTGTTCCACTTAAGAGTTCTTAAAGAAGTTGGTTATTTGATGCTGTTGCATTTCCTCATATAGAACTATATTTTTAATGTTATAATCTAAGAGCTAAACAAAATTAAGTACATTGTTCTAAATTAACATTATGTAAAAATTAGGGCCGGGACTTTAACGCGTTAATTAAGATGAATTAATTACACAAAAATTAACGCATTTTAATCGCACTTATTTTTGCACCGCGGAACGTTTCTCACTGGATGAGTTTCAGGCGTACCGATTATACTGGAGCACCAACTAACGTTCATGACTTCAGACAACAACAAACCACAGTGAACAACAGTGGGAAATGTTGTTTTAAAAAACGGACGGATGGAAGCGTCGATAAGAGCACGGTTGTGTGCAAATTATGCAAAAAGGAATTCGCATATCACCGCAGCACTTCAAGCCTCAAGTATCACCTCAATGCAAAACATATATCAGCTAGCGTGGAAGCTAGCGTGGAAGCTAGCGTGGACGTTAGCCTCTTTTATCGCGTTCACACCAAAAAGAGCCGGTACTAAAATGAGTTCATGAGAACCTTTTTACCCCCACGAAAGTCCCTGCTAGAGAGCAGAGAGCTGCTAGAGAGCAGGGACTTTCGTACGGCTCTCTTGTGAGAAAAGAGCTATATTTCTGATTGGCTGGGCGGATTGCAAACCACGCCCCGTAAAACTCCCAAAAAGTTTTGTGAAGCCGCCATTTTATTATCCTCGCATTAGCATTATTAGCATTAGCCCAGCGCAGAAACGCAGAGAGACTAACTTATGGCAACACAAAATAAAACATGGGAGCGGTGGAGATGAGGAGGTGTCGGCGTTCTGGCGATTTACTCGGAAGGCTGCTGGGACTCCCAGCAGCTTCTACTGAAGCCAGTCCCCAACTCAGGGGACTTCCGGCCGGGGACTTTGGGCGGCAGTATACGCCGTGAAGTGGTTTGCGGCCTGCCAGTAAACCCAAAGCAGAAGAAGAAGAAGTGACGTCAGCGGCTTCATTTGCCTAATCCACCCCCAGGTTCAAAGAGTTCTCATGAACTAAGTTCTCATGAACCTTTGTGAGAAAAGTACTGCGGTGTGAATGCGCCTAATTGTATACTAAAATCCATGTGAAAAAAATTGCTTCTCACTGTTCTCAGGTCAAATATTTATATGTGATTAAAAATGCGATTAATTTCGATTAATTAATTACAAAGCCTCTAATTAATTAGATTAATTTTTTTAATTTAGTCCCGGCCCTAGTAAAAATGTAATTAAAATAGAGAAATGAAAAAATTGATATTATGTATGCACACATTTCATACATAGTGTGTGTAACATAAGGGAAACAATGTCAAGTTTACATTTACAGATCAGTGCCTCTTGAAAGCCACTCTTGTCCTTTTTATATTTTAATTAGACCATTAAATCAGCATCAAGTTTTCTGATGAGTGTCAGTGAAACATTACATCACATGTCACTTGTTAGACGCTTTTATCCAAAGCAACTTACATACTCAATACTGTGGGCAATCCCCACAGGAGAAATTTGGGGTGAAGTGTCTCAGGGACACAACGACATGCTGACTGCAGTGGGACTCGAACTTGTTACCCCCTGAATAGAAGTCCAGCACACTACCCACTGAGCCACAGCCTCCCAAACAGTTTAACTAAGCTGTATTTGCCACGCTGTTTGATATAATTAATAGCCTAACTTTGTATAATGAAATGAGTCCTCCTCACCTGGAGACATGTTCACAGCGAGCAACTTTAATGGGAAGCCTGGTTAAACCGCACCCTATGCCCCGGATCATCAGTGTGTTTGCTCCTACCAGAAAACTTCACTTTATTATAATATCATAAACAAAATACAGCTGTTTCTTAAAGGGAGTCCCTGGACACACATGTGAGTCACTTGAAAACAGCTTTTATCAAAGATTTGGTGCATTTGAAATGTTTTCAGTAGAATAATTAGAGGATAAGCAGCTGAACAGTGCTGGCCACAGCGGGGGAAATGTGACGATTGGAAGCTCCACAAACAAAATTCAGTGAGCATCAGAGCTATACATACTTTCAAAATGAAGCGAATCAAGTGCGCTATCAGTTCCATTAACAGTCATTCTTCAGCACTTTTTCCACAATGACTTTGGAGGCTTTTATCAGTGAAGAGAAAACACAAGTGGCAAAGTGAACATGTTTGATCTCAGACATCGAGACAGTATGTGCAATTTTATAATAATGAATAACCTTAATATTCAAATAATGTCATGGTTATTATACTTAAGGGGCAATCCGATTAACAGAAACAGTACTGTTGAATATGTACAAAGTCCAGAAGTGTAGTAAGCGCTATAACCAGCCCACAGCACACACAGCCCATCACACACTACATCCACAGATTCATGCCATTATCTTCCAAACTGTTTCTTTTGCTTTATTTCTGTTTCCATACTTGAATATTATTATACCAGTGTCCAATCTTCAATTATTTAATTTAAATGTTGTGGATTGCTTTGTCTGCAAAAGCACCCTGCATATATCTCTGATCCTTCTTTATTATTTTTTTTAGAAAACTTTATTTTATATTATTTGGGCAGTACATGATATAAACAAGTTACATTAATAATACATATAACACACAATGAATACATATATAAATAACATAAAGAGAGCACGTTTATATTCCAATGAGACTCAGCTTGGTCACAGACTCAAAACGCCCCATGGCTGAGTCTGGGATTTGTCCAGGGTTTTTCTTCTCCTTAGTTCAGTAAGTATTTGTTTCACGATGGTGCCACTGTTTATGATCGTCTGATTTAGTATCATCTTGCACCTTGTCTTCCAGATTTTCATACATGTGATACAAATTACCAGCTGAAAAAGGTCCCTGTGTTTTTTGTCCATCCCCTCATCCAGAATACAATACATGATTGAGATATAATTTACATTGAAGTCTAACCCGATGCCCCGTCGGAGCGACCACACCTCCTGGGCTCTGTAGCAGTCCATGAATAATTGTAACTTATTGTTTGCCTCAGGGGCAGTATAAATATTAATAAGTCGATATTTTTCATTTTTATAAAAGCAATCCACCATAAGCAGCCTTCCTGGGATTATGTCCCTTCTTCTAATAATAGTGATGTATTTTTCTTTAAAGAAAATGCCAACTCCGTCAGCTCTACTCTCTCCGATGGATATAATACTTTTGCCTTTATGCCACCGTTTACACACATCATCAACATCACTGGTGGTATTCAGTCTAAGTTCCTGCGTAAAGAGGAAGTCATAATTAGTGTCTAATAAATATTTAATTTTCCTCTCTCGAAAGTCTTTAGACTGAACACCACATACATTCCAGGTAGCGACATTTAAGAAGCTGATATTGGTTTAT